CTTTTAAACAATAACTCGTGCCTAATTTCGTGAATATTCTCCTCAAATGAAAAAGTTTTCTAGCAAGCACCTTATTCCGATCGTTCAGTTAATATGGCAGCTATATGCTATAGTCATCCGATCTATACAATTTCTGCAGAGATAGCGTTATTGCCTTAAATAATAATAATTCATGCCGAATTTCGTGAAGTCAAATGAAAGAGTTTTCCATACAAGCACTTGATTACGATCGTTCAGTTCGTATGGTAGCTATATAGCTATAGTGATCTGATCTGAACAATTTCTTGAAAGATTACATTGTTGCCTTAGAAAATAATCCATGCCTTACTTTGTGAAGATACCTCGTCGAATGGAAGAGTTTTCCATACAAGCACTTGATTCCGACCGTTCAGTTTGTTTGTCAGCTATATGATAAGGTGATCTGATCTGAGCAATTTCTTCGGAGAATACATTGTTGTCTTAAAAAATAACTCATGCCTAATTTCTTGAATATTCCTCCTCAAATGAAAATTTATTTGATGCAACTACTTTACTCCGATTGTTCAGTTAATATGGCAGCTATTTGCTATAGTGATCCGATCGAAACAATTTCTTTGGAGATTACATTGTTGCTTTAGCTAATAACTCATGTCAAAGATATAATATATATTATGTCAAACAAAAAAGTTATGCATAGAAGCACTTGATTCCGATTATTCAGTTTGTATGGTAGCTTTATGCTATAGTGATCCGATATCGGCCGATCCGACAAATGAGCAGCTTCTTAGTAAGAAAAGAACAGGTGCAAAATTTCAGATCGATAGCTTAAAAACTGAGGGGCTAGTTTAAATATATACAGGCAGACTAACATGGCTAAATCAACAAAAGCAAAATTTCAGATCGATAGCTTAAAAACTGAGGGGCTAGTTTAAATATATACAGGCAGACTAACATGGCTAAATTAACTCAGCTCATCATGCTGATCATATATGTATATATTTTATAAGGTATCCGACGTTTCCTTTTGGTGTTACAAACTTCGTAGCAAACTTAATATACCCTGTTCAGGGTATAAAAAATTCCTCTGAAAAGGAAATAATGGTTAAACTTTTCGAAGAAGGAAAAACATACCCTGAAATCGGTCATATTGTTGGAAGAACACACACACACAAAGAGTAATAAAAAATTACAAACATACCGGCGTTTTTGCATCTCGGCGCGTCCATGGCGGCCAAAAATACTAGCACATTGTATAACTCGTAACGTTTTGTAAAGTGTGAAGCAAAACCTTCGATTTACTACATCCTAAATCGATTAAAATGTTAAGGAATCCTTCTGCACTGACACCATTCGCAAAATTAAAAACAGGCTTTTATGGTCAAGTCGCATACAAGTACTAATTCATATCGCTAGTCAATAGGTATGTGCATAATGTTTTCGCGAAAGAGCACTTAAATAAGCCGTGGGAGTTTTGGCAGAAAGTAATTTTTTCCGATGAGAGCAAATTTTGCGTCTTTGAAATCAAGGGGCGTAAGATTTTATGGCGAAAAACGGGCACGGAACTCGATAAGGAAATCTTGATGCAGTATACAGCAGACATAGTTAAGCTTTAGTTACTCTACAACGTTCCCTTTCAGCTTCAAACACAACCAGAAACACCAGATTTTAATCCTAAATTGCTCCTATAAGAATACATAAATATGTGCATATTGGTAATTTTTTTAACATTATTATTTTGAATTTTTATTTTGATCAATAGTTGACTCTAATTTATAACAATTTAATACATTTTCTATGCCAAGTATCAAAGAAATGAAATATTTTTAAGTAAACAATAATAAGTATATACCTACATAGGGTACAATAATAAAGTGGAGTTATCTTGAAGAATTGAAGCAAATAATACGTGTTTTTTTACGGCATTAGTCGAAAGTAATTTTTTATATGTATGTTGCTCATATATTTAAAAAACATATGGTTCATTTAGTGTTAAAACGGGCTAAGCGCTTTTAAAATTTATATCCATACTAATATTATAAATGTTAATATAAGTTTGTTTGTTATGCTTTCACGTAAAAACCACTTAACCGATCATCATGAAATTTTGTACACATATTCCTAATAGTATTAGAAAGTACATAGGATACTCATTACAAGTATTAAAAAACATATAATTTTATACGGATTTTGAAAAAACTTATTTTTAGATGCACAGTTTATTTGACACTGTTATGAAAGTTGCTCGCAGGCAACCGAATTTACAGTTACAGATAGTACATAATGCGTTGCTTATATGTACATGTTTTGTGTATTTCTAACACTCTTTTTCAACGCAATATGTCATTAAACACTTAAATGTTAACATTTTTTATTTTAATACATCGTTGTCGCGAACAAAAACAAATCTTGCTGCGACTTGGCAACTAAGATCACTTCACCGTCACGATTTTGAATGCACGCACCTTCTTGTTTAAACTTGACAGTCCCTTGAAAGGGATTCAGATTGATGGATTGCTTTTGGTATAGATATGAAATTGCATTCAAGGTCTTCCACATAGAGTACGTTTACCGAGCCAACTGTGCTTTTACGCCAATTCAGTTGCACTGAACCACGACCAGTGGCTACAATGTAATTGTTTCCAGCTAAAACAACTTTCTCAGTATGCCGTTCGAATTTTATGAAACTCGATTTATCACAGCACAAATGCGCTGTTGCACCACTATCCAAGCACCAAAAGTTTTTTGCAAAACCACCGTTAGAACATGCAAACACAGAGTACGATTTTTTTCGATCTTTGTCGTTTTTCTCATTTTTATTGTCTTTGACACTCGCGTTTTTTTCATTGACTTTTCCTCGACAATTCTTGGAAATGTGTCCACGGCGGCCACACGACCAGCAACTTATGTTTTTTCTTTGTTCTTGACCGTCCTTTACACTCTCTTGATTTCCGCCTCGCGAAGATAATATTTTTTGCTCTCCTTGACGTTTGGCAATTTTTCATATTATTTATCTGTGAAGACTTAATGCATAGCATAATGCTCTCTAATGCTTTTTCGTCTTTTGTATCAAACGCAGCTTTTACCTCTGCAGTGTCTTCTTCGTTCTTTACGACACGACCACAAACCACGGTCCTTAACTCTGCATGTATGTGTATGAGTACGCTTTTCATCTGAACGATCTACGCGCTGTAATTGTGGTCATTCAGCTTTTCAATAGAATGCATAACGGAATGCATTTTACTTAAAAAAAATTAGTACAAACTACTTGTCCAAGAAAGTCCAGAATGATCACATTCACCTTCTACAAGAAATTTCACTTTGAGTCAATTCGACTTATTATTATTATTTTATTTCATTTGTCTCCTCGCCTGAGCCGATAACCTATTAGATGCACAGTTTATTTGAGACTGTCATGAAAGTACTATATACGCATATATATACATATATAGTATATATGTAAGAGAGAACATGTAAAAGAGAATATATATACATATATGTAAGAGAGAACCTCGTTGCTCGCAGGCAACCGAATTTACAGTTAACATAATGCGTTGTTTATGTGTACATGTTTTGTACAAGTGGGGTTTTCTGGTTACCACCACCACCATGAAGATGATCAGAGGGATAGTATTTATGCATTTATGCATTTAGTTTGATGCATAAAATACCCCTACCCAGGTTTATTTCAATAGAAGTAAAATTTTAATTTTTTTCAATTAGTTGCTTATTAATTTTTATTAAAAAGAAACACCTCTTCTTAATTTTTCTAAAATAAAAAAGGTTAAACAACAAAAGCATTTTCCGTTTAAATCCTAACTGGACAAATCTACAGCACCTCTTTTGAAATAGTATCTAAAAATTAATATTTTGTAGCAAATCCTTTATTTTGGATGACTAAAGCACAACTTTTCGGCGTAGAAGAAATTGAATTATTTATTAGGTCCTGTGGTATGCCATTCCAAGCAATTTGTACAGCTTCAAAAAGTCTTCAGTCCTATTTATTTTGAAATTAACGTTCTCCTATAAGTTCTCGATGGGGTTGCGATCGGCTGATTTCGCCGGCCAGTCTAAAACATCAACTCTGTTTCTACGCAACCAAGTTTTGCAATGCCTAGAGAGAGGTATTTTTAAGATCATTGTCCTGCTGGAACCTCCACTTTATTGGTATTTCCTCTTCAGCATAACCGGTCCATTATTCCAATTATTCTATGAAGTTTTTCGGTGTCTTCCTCCGATGTCCCGAGTAAGTACACTGCCAATTGCTGAAATTTCTTTATTAATCGCGACACCTGACTGACTGATCTGTTCACCGAATATTTTTCACTAAACTGTTTCGATTGATTTTTTTGTGCTGCAAACCTTTTCTCTCTTTCTCACCAAATTTTTTTCCAGCTGAACTAAAAGGCTGCAATCATATTCAGAGTTGATTGCTTTACGTTTCTGCAGATGCTGAGAAATTTGTTTTCGAACCAGTTTTTGTTGAATTGTTAACGTGTGTGGCACTAACTTTCCAAACAGCTTTTTCATATGTAATGCTCCATGTAAAATATGAAGTATTCGTTCGTCTGAGATGCCTAGGGCATTAGCAATTTCACGCTTAGTCAAACATGGATTTTCACTATCAATATTATGAACTTGCTCAATGTCTTCTGGTGTGGTTGCGGTTTTTGGTCGTCCTTCGCGTGGATCGTCTTCAAGCCTAGTACGACCACGTTTAAATTCACCTGCCCAAATTTCTACGGTGCGTTTTGAAGATGAGGATACTTATACTTATAGGTACACTTAAAATAATTGTTCATAAATTTCCTTTGCTTTTAAACCTTTAAAAACAAAGAATCTATACACTGCGCGATAATAAATTTTTTCCACATATAAAAAATACTCTGACACGTCAACTTCTAATAGCTTGTAAACAAAGACTTAATTAATATATTATATAATGTATATTTGTTGACTATTTATTCCACTTTTCGGAAACGTTTTATTTAAATTTTACATATAAATATATTTTCATTAATTAGACACAAGTAACGACTGCCACAAATCGGGGAACAGTAACCCGTTCGGATTCGGATTCCGAAAGCGTTTTTACAGATGATGATGATTGGACGTACCCTATGCCTTTACGTGAAAATGTTGGTAGGTATTAAAATTACTAATTGCTGTGTAACTTATATAATTACAAATTCTTCTTCAGACCGAAATACTAGGCCTTCCGACAGTTCCGTTGAAAATGAATCCTTTGTTTTAACGTATTCGCAGCGGTTTTCTAAATTACCTGATGATGTTAGTGATAAAGCCAATGTTTTCAAATATTATGTGGACGCTGAAAAGAAACATCAACCGCTCAAAATAATCAAAAAATATAAAAATAAACAAAATTTATCTCTAGATATTAAAAAGAATGAAAGGTATTTAAAGAAAACTTTTAAACGTAATAATACAGTATACATAATAGATTTTAATATTGGTCATAGAACTTTAAAAGAAATATTACAACTATCCGACACGGAAAATACTTCGCCAGCTATGGGGCCCCTGGATGTCAATTCAATAGTAGACGAAAGTTATGATATACCACGATCTCATCAGTTGCCTTATCATAATATAGATCAAATATTTAACGAAAAAATATGGAGCCCGGAAACTGAAGAGTTTTCAGATTATGAATTGGCTACAACAGAACATTCGAAATCAAATACTCAAAAGAAATTACAAAAACATTTCTATACAAACGCGGCGCCTAATAAACTTGAAGGAAATGTTTTTCGTTATGATTTTATTCAACACGTAAGTTAAATTTTTGAAACAATATAAAACTGTTGTAAAAACTATTGTTTTATAGCTGAATTATTTTCTTCTTAAAGAAAATAAAAAACAGTTACCCAATATATATACAGCGTCTACCAATAGGGTGGCGGCCATGTTTGTTTACGGTTTTGTGTCAAAATTTGTCAGTGTGTTCAGTAAGGTGGGCCTTTTCATCATGTCACGTTTTACTTTGCTACAATACTTGGAAATTGTTCAAGATTATTACCCAAATTCATGTTCTCCAAAAAGTTCATAAATTCACGTTCATCGAAAAATCGTCTTCTCAGATAAGGCCCATTTCTGGCTTAATGGCTTCGTAAACGAATAGAATTGTCGCTATTGAATCAAACCCTCGTGTGGTTCAGAAAACGCAATTGAAAAAAATTGATCGCTTGGGCAGAAAATGCCATTACCATCAATAGCGAGCGTTATAACATGATGTTGACCAACTTTTTCCCGGTATTTGATAAAGTTGACGCCGACGATCTCTATTTCCATCAAGAAGGTGTGTCGCCTCATGTTTTACGTCTAAACATGGACACATTGCTTGCAAAGTTTGACGATTCATTCGAAGATCATGCGATTTAACAATTTTAGATTATTTTCTCTGGGGGTATATTAAATCAAAGGTTTACGCCAATCAACCAGCAACGCTCGAGGAGCTCGAAGACAACATGTAACGCACTATAATCAAAATGTTGTACCGGGTCATCGAAAATTGGCGTAAATGGGTGGAGATATGCAAACGGAGCCGTGGTGGCTATTTGGCTGACATTTTGTTCAAATCATAAATGGCATAAAATTATCTGCATAACAAAAAAAGAGCCCATTTTGTTTAAATTTGAGTGTGTTATTTCATTTTTACATCACGTCGTTCTTGTTGGTAGACCCTATATACCTTACGTTCTATTAATTCAGGTGCCCTTAAATAAAACTCCCTAGTAAAATGAAACAGCTTTTTTACGCAGAGTTTAATAAATAACTTGAATAAATCTTTTTTGTGAGCAACACAAATAAAAATAGGAAAACACGTTAACTTGGATTGAACAAAATTCATAAATACAAAAAATTTTATACAAGAACTTGATTTTGATCGTTTAGTTGGATGACATCTATATGCTATAGTTGTCTGATCTGAACAGTTTCTGCGGAGATTGTAGTTTTGTCTTGGACAATAATCTGTGCCGAATTTTGTAAAGATATCTTTTCAAATGAAAAAGTTTTCCATACAAGGCCTTAATTTTGATCGATTAGTTTGTATGGCAACTATATGCTATAATGGTGCGATATCGGCGGTTCCGACAAATGGGCAGCTTCTTAGAGAGAAAATTATAGATCGATATCTCAAACTGAGGGACTGGTTTGCGTGTATACAAACAGACGGGCATGGCTAAATCGGCTCAGCTCGTCGTGCTAATCATTTACAACGTTTCCTTTTGTATGTTACAAACTTCGTGGCAAACTTTAAATGCCCTGTTCAGGGTGCAAAGAGGGAGCGGTGCGCCTTGTTGTTGGTGTGGTCCGATTACAGTTTCGATAAACGTAAAAAAGAGAAAGGCAATGATAAACCTCTGATTTTACCTATACACAAACAAACCTCAAAACTTAGTTCGTCTGAACTTATGGATCGGATAATATCGCATGTTTCAAGTTACTTTTATTCATATATTTGTGATGTAAAAATATATCACAATTTTAATTTATCAAAGAATTTCTATATGATAATATTATATATTGTTAAATCTTTATTTTTAAAGACCGAATTGCCACCAGTAAACCGCAAACTTAAACCTAAACCTAGTATTAACAATAAACTACCTGAGGGAGAATCCGAAAATCAATGTTTACCAGAGAAACCTATAAAGAAAGCATTTATTGAATCTTCAAGGCCACCTTCAGTGGATAGAAATCTAAAACCGAATGTATATAAGGTAAGTCATTATGATGTTTTGGAGAACATATATATGTATTGCTCTATATATTTTCATTTACAGGCAGTCAATTCATCATTAATGGAACATGGAATGCGACGTTCCGTAGATATGTCTTTTTCAATAGAAATAACGCCAGAAGTAGATGAATGTATATTAGAAACTCGTACCTTACCAAGGAAAATAACTTCGCGTTTGGATAGAAGTAATAATGGCGTGACTACAGATATTTCAGTTTTACACCATCGGTCAAAATCTGCAGCTAATTCAATGTATCAAGAGTCTGTTAAATGTAATCCTCTGCAAAAAAATACAAGGAATGAACATCGACTACAGTATTTTGATTTAGATGTAACAAATCCACCAACAATAAATCGACAGAGTATAAGCACAAGCAATTTAACCAAGGAGGAGTCTAGCAATGTCGATTTATTACCCGAAAATTCTTTAAAAAGCGGAGTGGTTTATAATTCAGTAGATTTTGTGAAAACTGAAGCATTTAAGCGTATCCGTGAGGAACGTAAAAAAGAGAGTGAAGGTTTAAGTTCTAAATAATTTGATATTTTCTATTTGTGTTTAGAATATAGCGATAATAGTTTTGTACATTCAGCAAATTAATTGTTTTGTAAGTGTTTATGTGTGTTTAAAAATATAATTTTTGGAAAATTCCTAGTAAAGATAGTATTTGCTGAATTTGTGAAATTATTCATAGTACCCAAATGTTTATATAATAAATAAATTCATATAATATACTTAATTATATAATTATGTTTTTGTAATACTCAAGTAGAAAAGAAAAACAATTTGTTTTTTATACCAACAAATTTTTGTCGGTTTTGTGTTTGATTGGTAGGTTTGTTTATATGGCTTTGTTGTACTTCTTGACCAATCGTTAGCGTACTGTCAGCGAGGTCAAGGCTGATACTGACGCTCTATCGGAATAGATGCTCACATCTTTGAAGGAGACCGCATTATAGAGCTGCTACTGTAATAACAGCCACCTCTGTTTCAATCCATTCCTGAAAAAAAAAATTCATTGTGCGCTTTTTCTTGCATTTTATCCACATGTTTCTCGCAGTAATGAATTCGTAGAGGAAACCACTAAGAGTAGACGGCGACGTAATTTCGAAGGATTATAGAGTGGCTAGGCCATGTTAGAGAGTGCTAGGAAAAAATCACGTTAATACCCCTGGTTTGCATTTAGACTTAGCGAAATAAAGTTAAAACAATTCTACTTCAGTTCAACCAGACTCATTTCTGGTATTATGAACTAAAAAAAATTAAATTTTTTTGATATTGCTTATCTATAAACGTGAAGATTTATCCGCTAATTAAACACCTGAAAATTTTTGAACGAAAAATTAAAACTATTCAACCGACATTTCCTTCTGGGTGTTACAAACTTCGTGACAAACAATATACATATATAAATCAAATTAATTCAATCCTACTTCGATTAATAGTAATTTTCATCTTACCATAAGATCTACGTTGTCTGCCTAGATAATGACCCGAATCCTCTTTTTCCAAGTTAATTTTACATAAAGCACAGTTACCAACCTCAGCCCCCAGATATTTCAAGGATTCCTTGTAAAAATGTGCTTTAATATTGAAGTCGTTTGAGATTGACCTCGGTTCCTAGCTTCTTCATAACTCCATTCTCCTCTTCTACTCACACCGATTCGATGCAGTCGGCAAACATAACAATTCGGTTGGTACCACTTTCACTCGTGACTTCTTATCGAGGGAGGACTGCTTATTTTGTGTGCCGGTTTCAGCTTAGCAAACAAGATATTTATTTAACGCCGATATTAACTGGAGGCTCAACCGATTTTTAAGTTGGCTTTCAATTCACTTCAGTTTTTGAAATACAGAAAGCATACTCAACAACTTGGTACATTTAAAAATCGCTCCATAGGTTTACAAAATAAAATTTAGTGTTAAGTCTTAAAAAATAGATAATTCGAATCGCTAAAAAAGTGGCAAAAATACTTTAACCTAACCTAAATATATAATTTCGTTAACGAATTGCCATCGACTCTCTCTCTCAAAAATTCAAGGAAATTCAGTTGATATTTTAATCCATTTATTATACTTATGCAGATCAAAGACTTCTATATGTTGTTACTTGAAGAGATGAAAAAATTTACTCAGGGTAAAAAGACCTTATCGGAATCCCACTGCTTCTGATATACTGTAATTATTTGTACTTCTATAATGTATGCAATCGAAAATACTCTGACAATTATAACAAACATTGATACGTACCAGTTTATAACAATATAAGGCAAAATATTAATGAAAAAGTTATTCAGGGAATCGGAATTGAAACTGACAAAAAAAATGTCGTAGGTGGCATGAATTAAAATTGGTTTGACGTTCGAAATAGAAATTCTATTGGTTTTGGGTGCAAATCAATTTTATCGGGTTTGTTAACAAAAACAAAGCAAGAGGATAGTCGCTGCCAGATTTGAAATGTAAGTTAAAAAATTAATTATATTATTTTTACAATTTATTTTTTTTTATTTCTATAGGGGAAAATATAAGAATAAAACACAAAATGTCATAATTATTGAGTTTATGGAAAAAAATACAGATAAATATATAAAAAATACATATAAAAGCGTCTTTATTTAGATACATATGTGTTATTATTCATCAGCTACATCTTCGGAATCATGTTTACTTCTATAAAACTCATCACCTTGCTCATCATCTTCATTGTTATTTGCTGAATAGTCTGTAGAAATAAAGTATACGGTAAATCAATAAAATGAAAAAATACTTTAGTATAACACAATTGTCTGGTCCATCCTGAGCAAGATGACTAACATAACTTATCTTGTTTTTTATGCCCCAATTCCAAAGGGAAATATCATAAGCCCTCAAAAATTGCTAGTGGTGTTCAGATTCGTATGGAGATATCAAGCTAACATCAAATCTCTTTTTTTATTGCATTTAAGTCTTCATTAATGTTAAAAGCTTTGTAGTTGTCGACAAAGAATTGAAAAGGGCTGTCATCTAGGTCTTTGCATTTCTTCGCGTTGTACATGTTGCAAATAAATTCTTGAGCTTTCAAAAGCTTTTTAATGATGCAACGACTCTTTTTTATTTGAATGCAGTATATGAATTTGATCTATAAATTCATTTCACATTTTTTCTTCCAAATAATGTGCTGTAAAGACAATTGACGTTTCCTAATTATTTACTTCAATGAATGAGTGAATATATTGCTTACGTAAATACGAGGCAAAATATATCCATCCACTTGGAATATCAGTTGTTGCACTTGTTGACTTCGAAAGCAGATCAGCTGTTTCTTCCAGTAATATTTTTTGTTCCGGATTTTCATCTACGTTTTCACTTACATTAGATATTTTTTCTAAAGTTGAATCTTGCACTGTAGTATGAGTAATTTTTGAGCAACTCGCAGATAATGGGGGCTGCTCATTTGATATATTATATTCTGATAGAACACACGATTGTGTTGTTGGTACAGCTTATTTTTTACTGGTTCCAAAAAACATGTTTTTAATGATGAAAGCGACCTGTATTATATCCTGCTTTAAAAATATCACTTGGTAAAACGGTATTTTAATATTTAAATTTATGAAATTTTCGTTTCTGTAAATGTTTAATTTTTTAATTGTTGCTCAGAAAACAAAAGCACTTCATTTTCTTGGCACAAAACACATACTACAATTTCGACGACATAATTTTGATTCACGGAAAAAACAACTAATATTCAATATTGTAATATCAAATATTTTATGACGCGTAATGGGATGCTTCTTTGTTAACGGCTAAAAACAGCTATTCCCTACGTAAACAATGTTTACAATTGGTGCTCGCACAAGGTCCTGTTCTGTCTCTTGTCTCTTGTATACATGCAAACAGAGAAGCTGGCATTCGCGTTGATAAAGGCCCGCTCGATGTCGAGAAAGGTGTCCACAGCAAATTCCTTGTAAGAGCTATCTCCGGTCATGACACTACATCATGCAAAGTAATACAAAAAAAAAAATACAATCTAATATACAAATCCATAAGTCTCTCCAACGTTTTTAACAGAAACGAGAATAGTCTGATGGGTCTGAAATCCTTTGCACCGACATAAGAGCTTTTACCGGCCTTCGGTGTAAACATAACCTTAGCCTGTCCAGGACTCCCGGACATGGCGTAATCTAACACAGTTCGCGTAGATGGAATATAGCCAGATGTATGACACCTTGACCGTACGCTGTAACTGCGCCGGTATAATGCCATCAGTACTTGAGGACTTGAAAGATTTGAATGATTTCAACGCCCAGGTAAGGTGACGTTCATCCAGAAGGTCCAATTAGGTTGTACAGCCTTCCTGAAGCTCCCCCAGTGGCACTTCTTCAGCAGAGCGATTCAGCGGAAAATGACCATCCAGAAGTAGCTTCAACGACTCCTCACTGCTCGTTGTCCAACCACTATCTGCATTTCTCAGATACCCCAATGGTATGGGATTTTTCGCAAGAATGCGCTTAAACCGTAAGGACTCATAACAACCCTCTACACTAACCGGCCTTGTACAGCGCTCTGTTAGCTCCGAAGTCCACCAAGGGGGTTTCAATTTACTGACTCCTTTACTTCTCTGACTTCTCAGATAACAGGAGCTTTCAAGAGTAGTCCTACTAACAGAGCTGAAAGCCTCGACGAGCTCATCATTCGCCTCCCCAGTTAGAATCGAATCTTTGTCGGGCGCGGTTGTAAGAGCTGATCGAAGTTTCTTGCAATGCACGACCCAATTGGTATTTCTGAAATTTCAATAGGTTTTGAGCTCCGGGCGCGAGGTGTCCAAGCTGTAACCAATATATTGTAACGAGTTTCTCGATAAATCGTCTACCGATAACTCACTCTTGAGTTCGATCACTGGATTGTTAAATAAAAATCCTAATTTATATATATATATATATATATATACACTTATCTTTATTTCTAATTCCACCAACTTACCACTTATTGCTCGTTATTCGAGTTTCAGCTTCTTGCTTATGTCTCAATTGCTCTTAACATGACAATAATCTAACTAGAACTGTCCTTGCTGCACAATCCCTTATATAGTAGATTGTTAACTAAACTTCGCTACTGGAACATTCTGGCAACTACGCTATCAAGTTATATATAGTCAATTCGGATATGTTCTGGCATTCGAGTTCGCCACACTGCTCTCCACCTAAGTCTGATCGTTCCGATTAGACATATTTGCGGTACCAAACGCTGCAAGCAGTTCTAGATGCACTACCTTCATTTTATTCCTTGGTCTTCCAATGGTCTGTATGTGATACAGAACATCGTTGAGTCGTTCACTAACCTGGTATGGTCTTTTTTAATTTCACTGTAGTTTGGGAGACAACCCTTTCTTTCGTTGTGGGTTAAATAACAATACCCAATCGCCTTCAGTAAAACCCTCACAGTTCATTGCCTTGTAGAATTTTGCTTTCATTTTATCGCTCATAATTTTGGTGCGCTGTCTCACCATAGCATGTATATCCCTCATTTCGTCTTCTCGGATGCTGTTGAATTCCTTAGTATTCCTTCCTCCGTTGGTATTAATTCCAAATTTCAAATCAATCGGTAGTCGAAGATGGTTACCACAAATTTCATTGGTGGAGTCTGCCCCGTTGTTTCATGTACAGCAGACCGATAAGTCATCAGAAACAAGGAAATATTGCTATCACAATTTTTTTTGATACTGGCCCTCAACTTTCCTCAAATGTTCTTCCAAAGTTCGATTGAATCGTTGATGAATACATCCGCTACTGTTCTGGCCAAAACATATTTGTTTCCTAATTTATTGATAGGAAATGCACCAGCTACATCCATGGCAATTCGCTTAAACGGCGCACCTGAGTTGTACTGCTTCATCTGACCATGACTCCTGGACCGCGGCCCTTTAGCAGCAATGACACAATTGGCGATCCACTCCGTAACTGATTGACGACAACCAAACAATAAAATCTTTGTTTTAATTTCTCCACGGATTTAAGGATACTCATGTGTCCCACTTGGACCGTTGTGCACGTCGTTGAGAACTTCGGGAATTTTTACTTTTGGTACAATCATCAGAGCTAACTTTAAACTATTCCTTTGTGCCCAATAAGCCTTTGCGATTGGGCTTTTTGCAGCTATTCTCTCGTTGGAGGTTTATTCATCTTCAATCCATGTATTAAACTTTTCAAATCTGGATCTTCTTGCTAACATTTCTGTAGCTCCTCCGGATCCCAGTCTGATGGTTTACTCATTAATCGAACATCTATAATGGCTTCTTTGACCTCAGCGGCAGAACATGGCATCAGCATCTTCATGACTACTACCTTTTCGATGTTCTATAGAGAAGTTGTAACAGTGTCTTTTGAGTCTCTCAATCCACCGTGCCATCTGTCCTTCTGGGTTCCTGAATTGTAAAAGCCATTTTAATGCTGCATAATCTGTCCTCACTCGAAATCGCTGCCCATAAAGGTACTTATGAAAATGTTTGATGCACTTCATCAACGCCAGTAATTCCCTCCGAGTAAAAAATAATTTCTCTCGGGCTTGCTTATTGTCTGGCTGTTATATGCAATCACTTTCTCATGCCCATCGATGACTTGTGATAGAACGCCTCCTACTGCAAACCTACTAACATCCGTATCTAAAATAAACGCTGATCCTGAGACCGGGAATGCTAACATTGACGCAGTACTTAACCGCTTCTTCAGAGTTTGGAAAGTCTCTACCTGTTCTTTATTCTATTCAAAAACTTGGTTCTTTTTCAGGAGTCCATGGTGGCTACTAGCTACGCTGGCAAGATTTGGAACGAATCAGCGATAAAAGGTACACACTCCAAGAAAACTCCGCAATTCATGCAAATGCCCTCCGTTGTCACTTTGTGTCCGAAATCGATTACTTCCTTTTTGAAAGGGGAACACTTATTTGGACTCAGCTTCAGAACCGCGCTAGCTATCCGGTAGAAAACCCTTTCTAAGTTCTTAAGGTGCTCATCGAAGATTTTACCCAACACGATGATATCGTCGAGGTATACCAAACAGGTCTTCCAGTGTAATCCTTTTAATACCTGGTTCATAAGTCTCTCAAAAGTAGCAAGAGCGTTACATAATCTAAAGGGCACTACGGTAAATTGCCATAGACCATCTCCCACGCTGAAAGCCGTCTTTTCTTTGTCTTCTTCGTTTACCTCCACTTGCCAATAACCACTTTTTAAATCAAGTGTTGAGAACCATTTTGTGCCTGGTAACGAGCCCAGTGTATCATCGATTCTAGGTAGTGGATAACTGTCTTTCTACGTTACATCATTCAACCTTCTATAGTCCATACAAAATCTCATGTTACCATCTTATTTTTTCACAAGTACTACAGGTGAGTTCCACGGAATCTCTTATGGTTCGATTACGCCGCTTTCGCTCATTTCACGTATGGTCTGGCTTACAACTTCACGTTTTGCTAAAAGAACGCTTCGAGGAGCCTGGCGGATTGGTCTTGCATCACCTGTGTTAATAAAATGTTTCACAACTTTGGTTCATCCTGGTTTGGCATCATCTTTATCAAATATGGATGAGTATCTGAGAAGAAGTTGTTTAGCCATAGTTTGAGAGTTAGCCTCTAGTTCCTCAGTCCATGGGTTAATTTCACTCGATATGTCGTTTTCGTCCATGGAATCTCCTCAAGACGTATTTCGCAATTTATCACGGCCTCAATCTCGTGACACTGCCCTAATATAGCTCCTTTGAAGAGTTTGATTGGTAACTTGCACTCATTAAGTACTCTTACTGGAACACGTTTATCTTGTCTTGTCATAGCCAGGGTTTAGCCTATAAGTAAGTTTGGTGTAGATTCTTTTGTGAGCTCAACAATCCACCACTTGTTTGGCCCATAGTATCCATCTATTTCTGCCCAAATAACTGCTTTTGATGTTGGTGGAATCTGCTGGCACTCTGTTGTTATCACTCGTCTAACGTTGTACTTATTATCGTAACCGAACATAAGTGGCACTTCCATATTTCTATAGGACATAATTCTGTTTTCCATGTCAATTTTGATTCCTTGATTCGCTAGAAAGTCTACTCCAATTATGACTTCGTCGGCGATATATGCCACTATAAAATTGTGTACTAACTGGAGTATCTTTTCCAGTTGCAGTACGTAACTTTGCCCTAGCTAATGGTTTCACTTCTTTCTCAACCAGATCAGATCGAATTATGGAATGTGATGCGCCCGTATCCGCAGTCAGTATGCGCTTTTTGCCGTCTACATATCCACTAGCCGATAACGTTACTCGTATTCCTGCTTATTTGTGAAATGGAGATTACAGGGCATTTGCTTGTGGGAGCCAGTCCGTGCCCTTTTCATGTTGTCAAGTAATTGGTTGACCCAAGTGTGTTCCTCTACTTATGAGCTTTAAATGTTTGATTGCTAAGCAGAGATGCAGTTTCCTGTGTCAGAGCATCCGAACCGGTTTCCGCAAACGTCAATTTTGAACATGCTAATGCAGCAAAGCGTGTAGTGTTATCTCGTATTCCATTGACGAAGGTCTGAATTTTCATGTCTCCGATGTATTCCACGGATTTATGTGCATAAGCTAAGTGAGCTAACCTCTCAGTCTCTGTAGAAAACTCCTGCAGAGACTCATTGGCTTTTTGGCGGCGATACCATATCGTCTTTCTAATGCACCCTTCAACGTTTCATAACTACTCGCCTCGCAGTTTGGAATGGTCTGTAACGTCTCCGCTGCAGATCCTTTTAATGCAACGAACTGCGACTTTATCTTCAGCGTTCCAATTATTTGAAGATGCCGTCTTTTCGAATTTAAGCTTAAAAAGATGGAACGGAATAGTGCCATCAAAAGATGGAGGTTT